GGCCCCTGAGGGCTGCCCGGGAGTTAGGGCAAGGGGCTGGGTTGGGGCTGGGTTGGTCAGGCCCAATTTCCCATGGAGAAGACGGTGTAACAGAGCAGCTGTCGGACATGTCCAGGGTGTGTGGACTGGGACCTAGGCAGAGAGGCACCCTCCCTGCCGGTCCATGGCCGTGTGGGCTTGGTGGGCACGGCCTGGTGAAGCCCATCTGCGGGCCCTCCCTTCCCCCTCTTCCGTCTCCATCCTATCTCCGCCCCGCCCCCCACCTTCTTTGTTCTCCTCCCTGGCTGGTTCCTGCTGCAATGCCTTCACCTTTGCCCTCCACTCCTCCCTCCCCTCTGCAGATGAGTAATGCCTCAGAGCTCCCGGGCACAGCTGTTGTACCCCTGCCGTCGGTGACCTGGCTGCAGCCCAGCCTCCTTCCGGTCACACCCACTGTGCCTGCCGGGCCTCAGATGGATCATTTAGGGAATGGCTCCCAGGGGGCCCCTAAGCTCTTCCTCACCACCTCGTTGGCCCGTGGTGTCTCAGGCGTCTTCGTGTGGGCCGCGGTGGTCCTCACCTGCCACCAGGTAAGCCCTCCCCACCTGTGCGCCTCCCTCCCTCAGGACCCTGCTCAACTGGGGGCCTGGCTGGGTGCTGCTGGGATCGTGGGGCCTTCCTCAAATGATCACCCCCAGTGTAGACAGCCAGAGGTCCGGCTGGGTCCGAGGGACAGGGCCCAAGGGAACTCAGAGGAGGGGACACCGCAGGGGTGATGGAGGTGGGCTTGCTCCAGTATACAGGGTGTGGGAGTGGGGCCTGAGAAGGGGGATGGGTCTGCCAGGCAGTGGGCAGAGACTTCACTCAGGCTGGCTCACCGGCCTCCTTCTGTCCACTGAGGTCCATTTCATTGATGAGAAGCCTGAGGTCAAAGGTGTTCCGCAGGTCCACATAGCCAGCAGGAGAAAGGGCCTTCTCTCTCTGGGGATGCTGCATCCCCACGTAGGCTGGCCAGGGCCTGGACATCACCCTGTGGGGAGTTGGGAGCCCACCAAGAGAGCAGGGAACAGAGTCCAAGCTTGGTTCAAGGGAGCAGGGCTCCAGGAGGGGCTTCCTGCCCCTCAGACCCCTCTGTGGGTGGCTGGGGATCCCTGAGCCATGCACAGCCCTTGCCCTGGGTCAGCCTCCAACTGGGGAGACAGGGCAGACCCCCAGGTAGAGAGGCGGCATGCACAGTGGCCAGGAAGGGGTCATGCAGTGGGCAGACAGGAGGTGATGCCCACACTGGAGGTGGGCAGGGGGCAGGGGCAGGAGGGTTCTGGGAATTCTCAGAGGAATGAACAGGAGCGTGGATGACGTTCCTAGCCAGAACAGCATAAACAAACGCAGGGAGGGCGGTGGGAGGCCAGAGCCCATGTGGAGGACAGTGAGTGGACCCTTAGGTGGAAGGCATTCTTCGTGGGCAGTCAGGTTGGAGAGGAGCAGAGTGGCTAGAGCAAGAGGACTTGGACACCACTGTAAGGAGCTGGGCCTTCAGTCTGTGGGTGGGTGCTGGGGAGCCAAGGCAGGCTGTTGAGGGAGTGAGTACAGAGCTGTGCTACCCTTTAGGACAGCTAATCTGGTGCTGGCATAGGGAACAGATTGGCCAGGGGACCCTGGGGACAGACAGGAGATGGCAGGCAGGGAAGTGGGTGGCAGGGACACCCTCAGCCCGAGCCCCAGAGGCTGCCAAGATGGGGAGGGTAACAATCAGACACCCCTCTCAATAACAGCCACCTGCTGTGTGGGACCTGCCCAAGGGTGGCCTCAAATAGCCAGAATACAAGGTTGACATGACAAGTGCTTAAGGGTGGGCCAGGCAGAGCACAGTGCGGCTGAGCAAGGCTGTTGGGGCCACCCTGGAGGAGGCAGTGTTTGAGCTGAGTCTTGCCAAGCTGCCCTGAAACATCTGGACAGGTAGACTTGATGGGTGGATGATGCGTTTGTATTTGCAGGGGAAGCAAAGCCTTACTGTCTAGTAGTGGGATGGCATTAGGTCTGATTCAGGCTTGTAGTTTAAGGAGCAGCAAGGGGGTGGGGAAGGATCCCTGGTGGTGCAACGGTTAACTGCTTGGCTGCTAACTGATAAGTTGGAGGTTCAAACCCACCCAGTGGCTCTTTGGGGGAAAGACCTGGTGATCTGCTCCTGTAAAGATTACAGTCTAGGAAACCCTATAGGGCAGTTCTACTCTGTCAGAGAGGGTCACTATGATCAGAATCGACTCAGTGGCACCCAGCAACAACAAAGGCAGTGGAGGAGGGGGAGGCAAACAGAATCCTGGGTTGGGGGCACTGTCTAGTCCATACTTCTGTAACTCCGGGGACCAGCTGCATGTGCACATGTGTGTATAGCCTGGCTTGCTGGGGCTGCCTAGCCTGGACAGGGCTGACTGAGACTCCTTGGGCTTCAGCTTCCAGCCCTCCCCATCTTCCTCCCCTGCACCCGCTTCTGGGCCCTCCGTAGGGTGAGAAGTCCCAGACTCACCACCCATGTAGAGCCAAACGGGACAGAGGGGCACAAACCCTCCCTTTACAGATGGGGAAGTAGAGGCGGGCGAGGTCAGCAGCGGGCCAAGGTCACCCAGCTGGGCAGAGCCAGCCCCAGGTCTGCTGACGCCAGTCACACTGCACCCGTCCACTGCGCCGGCCAGGGGTGAGTGCTGATAAGGAGTCTTATCAGTCTCTGCCTCCACCGCCCCCGCATTATGCCCACGGAGCTGGGCGTACGGCTGCGGTGCAGTGCACACGCTGTCACCTTTGCCCCTCTCCCCACCTCGTCCACACAGTGCCTTGTCCAGGGAGCCTTCCGCACAGCCCCTTGGTGCCCACGTGGTGGACCCCCAGCTCCTGTTCCTCTTAGAGACCCGGCCATTATTTTGTCAGAAACACAGGCAGTGTAGAAGGGCTGAAAGATGAAAATGATAGTCACCCACGTATTCCCGCTGCTCAGGAGTAAGACATCGATGTATTTCCTTCCTTCCTTCCCTCCCTCCTTCCTGCCTGCCTGCCTTTTTCTTCTTCTCTTTATTTTCTCTATACCTTCTCTGTTTATTACGGTAAAATACAGGTAACAAAATTTGCCATTTTAACCATTTTTAAGTGCACAATTTAGTGGCATTAACTACACTCGCAATGTTGTGTAATCATCAGCACTATATTTCCAGACCTTTTCGTCACCCCAAACTGTTTACCGCTTAAACTCCCCATTCCTCCTCCCCTCAGCCCCTGGTAACCACCAATCTACTTTCTGTCTCTATGCATTTGCCTGTTCTGGATATTGCACGTAAGTGGGATCATACAGTATTTGTGCTTTTGTGTTCCTTTCCAAGAGCCCTGGTGGCACAGTGGTTAAGCACTCGGCTGCTAACCAAAAGGTCGGCAGTTTGAACCCACCAGCTGCTCCGAAGGAGAAAGACGGGACAGTCTGCTTCCATAAAGATTACAGCCTTGGAAACCCTATTAGGCAGTTCTACTCTGTCCTATAGGGTCACTATGAGTTGAAATAGACTCAATGGCAATGGATTTGTTTTTTTTCATGTCCTTTCATCTCTGCTGGAGCTCTGGTGGTGCGGTGGTTAAAAGGTCGGCTACTAACCAAAAGGTTGGCAGTTTGAATCCACCAGCCGCTCCTTGGAAACCCTATAGGGAAGTTTTTCTCTGTCCTGTACGGTTGCTATGAGTCAGAATCGACTTGACAGCAACGAGTTTGGTTTTTGGTTTTGTTTTTTTCATCTCCACCGTGCATTTTAACATATTTGGGATCCTACTTGGCTTGTCATGATGACTTTTAAATGTTGCATTATATCAGAACATTCTCCCCATGTTATTGTTTTGACATCCTTTTTATTGGTTGTATGATATTGCTTTTCACGGCTGCACCACACATAATCAGTCTGACCGCACCGCTGTGCACAGTGCCCCTTATAGCTTTTCGCTGTGTGTCGCTGTGATGAACACCCTTGCACACAAACATTGTTCTTTATTTCTGAATATATTTGTTCCATGGGACAGATTCTGAGCCCTTTTAACACCCACATATTGAGATGCCAAATTGCTTTCTGGAATGTCTGTGCCCCTTTAGGGATCATGGTATGTCTCTCATTCTCTCCCCAGAGTCTGACCCTTAGCAGTCCCCAGGAGATTCTTGTAGAATGAATGAATGAGCAAATGAATGAATGAGTGAATGAAGAAGCTTTCCCATTTCCAGCTTATTTGTTAGGAACAGGAGCTATCTCATGCCAAAGAAGGTCTTTACAAAAAAGACAAACCTACAACAGAAAAAATATTTATTCTCTCTACTTATAATTGGTGGCTCAGTGGTAGAATTCTCACCTTCCATGCAGGAGACCCCGGTTTGATTCCCAGCCAATGCACCTCATGCACGGCTACTACCCGTCTGTCAGTAGAGGCTTGCACGTTGCTGTGATGGTGAACAGGTTTTAGCTGAGCTTCCAGACAAAGATAGACTAGGAAGAAAGGTCTGGCAATCTACTTCTGAAAAATCAGTGAATGAAAACCCTGTGGATCACAAGTCTGATCTGCAGCTGATCATGGGGATGGCCCAGGAACAGGCAGGGCTTCATTCCGTTGTACATGGGGTCACCACGAGTCAAGGGCTGACTTGACAGCAGCTCACAACAACAACAAATAATAATAAGCAGCTCATTGTAGAAACCTTGGAAATATGGGAACATATAAGAAAAAAGAAAGGTGCCCTGATGGTGCAGTGGTTAACGCTGCTAACTCAAAGGTCGGCGGTTCTAACCCACTAGCCACTCCTCGAGAGGAGATACGGCAGTCTGCCTCTGTAAAGATGGATAGCTTCGGAAACCCTGTGTGGCAGTTCTACTTTGTCACATGGGGTCGTTATGAGTCAGAATCTACTTGACGGCACACAACAGGAACAACAACAAGGAAAAAGCTAGAGGTCTTTGGTGGCCTGGCTCCAGAAGGAGGCCCTCTGTGGCTTGTTGGGGGCACAGACGGGACAGTCTGCTTCCGTAAAGATTACAGCCTTGGAAACCCTGTTAGGCAGTTCTACTCTGTCCTACAGGGTCACTATGGGTTGAAATAGACTCAATGGCAATGGATTTGTTTTTTTTCGTGTCCTTTCATCTCTACTGGGCTGCGGCACCCACACCCGGCAGGGGGTCAGCATGTGTGTGCTGCCCTGACCTGGCAGGAGAGGGTGGGGGAGGGGGCACCAAGGCCTACACTGAGCCGCCCCTGCCCCACCTCCAGATCTACCTGCATCTGCGCTCCTACACTGTCCCCAATGAGCAGCGCTACATCATCCGCCTGCTCTTCATCGTCCCCATCTACGCCTTTGACTCCTGGCTCAGCCTCCTCTTCCTGGGGGGCCACCAGTACTATGTCTACTTCGACTCTGTGCGGGACTGCTACGAAGGTGAGCGCCAGCCCTCGAGCAGCCATCCTGCCTCCCGAGGCTCAGGCTGCAGTCCGGAGGGTCCCCAGAGAGGCCCAAGCTGGGGCTGCTGAGTAGGGGCTCCCCAGGGTCTCACTGCTCGTGGGCAAACTCGCCAATACCAGCTCCTAGGCACCCCCATCCTCCAGGCCTGAGTCTGGACTAGCGAGCCTGTCTGGAGGTACTGCCCTGTGGCAGGGACAGCGATGGCTCTAGTGCATTCAATGGGGGAAGGGCGCAGGCAGGCTGCCCAGAGGCGGGACAGCAGGAAACAGCGATCTGGCCAGGGGCAGGGGCTCTGAGAGCCACCCCCAGAAGCAGTGACAGGCTTCAGGCTTCAGAACAGGCGGGCACCTGCTGCCCAGGGTGGCTTGTGGTCAGAGAGCTGGAGGGCCCTGTGGAGTGGCCTGACCAGGCCTGTCTCCTCCTGGGCCTCAGTTTCCCCTCCACGAAATGGGCTTTCTCAGGTGGGCGGCCAGGGTTCCCTATGGGCCTGGTGGCGGGGATGGGTGTGGTCAGGGGCCTCCGTGCAGGACAGCGGTGCCCCGTGGGTGGTTGTGACTCCCCAACCCCAAATTCACTGCCTCCCCTGCCCCCAGCCTTCGTCATCTACAGCTTCCTGAGCCTCTGCTTCCAGTACTTGGGCGGTGAGAGTGCCATCATGGCTGAGATTCGGGGGAAGCCCATCAAGTGAGTGCCTTGCCCCAGAGCCCTCCATGCCAGGGACAGGGACAGGAAAGGAACAGGGGCACCGAGTGTCCACTGAGCCCCACTATGGCTCTCCACGCCAGGGACAGGGACACGGAGCCAAGTGTCCACTGAGCCGCACTAGGGCCGTCCATGCCAGGGACAGGAACAGGGGTGCCAAGTGTCCACTGAGCCCCACCAGGGCCCTCCATGCTGGGGACAGGGCCGAGGGTCCACCAAGTCCCTCAGGACCCTCCATACCGGGGACAAGAACAGGGCGCTAGCTGTCCATCGAGCCCTAGGACCCTCCATGCCAGGGACAGGGACAGGGGTCCCCCAAGCCCCGCCAGGGCCTTCCACACCAGGGACAGGGACAGGGGGCCAGGTGCCCTCTGAGCCCCACCAGGTCCCTCCATTAAGGGGACAGAGACGGGGACGGGGGACCAGGGCTGATCATCTGCTGAGCCCCACCAGGGCCCTATACTTGGAGTTGGGGCTGGGGGGCCAGAAGTCTGCTGGGCACCCCTCAGGCCGTCCCTGCCTCCAGGTCCAGCTGCTTCTATGGCACCTGCTGCCTGCAGGGCATGTCCTACTCCATTGGCTTCCTGCGCTTCTGCAAGCAGGTGAGCGGGCCCTGTCCACAGCCACCTGACCACCGTGTGGAGTGGGCAGGGGCCACACTCAAGCCAGCCCTGCTTGTGGCTGGCTCATTGCCGGCTATCCCATTAGCCTTCCTGGACCCATCCAGGGGTGGGGACCATGCCCCCCGCCCACTCTCATGCCCCCCACCCCCCATACCTGCCCTCATTTCCCCACCCCATGCCCAACCTCCAACCTCACCCCACCCTAACCCCCATGCCCGCCCTCACCCCCACGCCTCATGCTGCCCTCACTCCCCCACCCCATGCCC